ATGTAATAGCATGTGATTTATACATACGTCTTTTACACACATTCAGCTATATCAGTTTAATAATAACTAAGTTTCTTCATTGGCACTCTATCTATGAATATTCAATATCATTAACATAGGTACTATTTATATATCATTAAACATAATTTTAGTTAGTATATGTGGATATACAGTTGCAAGAAAAAGTATGTGAACCCTTTGGAATGATATGGATTTCTGCACAAATTGGTCATAAAATGTGATCTGATCATCTAAGTCACAACAATAGACAATCACAATCTGCTTAAACTAATAACACACAAAGAATGAAATGTTGCCATGTTTTTATTGAACACACCATGTAAACATTCACAGTGCAGGTGGAAAAAGTATGTGAACCCCTAGACTAATGACATCTCCAAGAGCTAATTCGAGTGAGTTGTCAGCCAATTTGAGTCCAATCAATGAGATGAGATTGGAGGTGTTGGTTACAGCTGCCCTGCTCTATGCTCTATAAAAAACACACACCATTTCTGGGTTTGCTTTTCACAAGAAGCATTGCCTGATGTGAATGATGCCTCGCACAAAAGACCTCTCAGAAGACCTACGATTAAGAATTGTTGACTTGCATAAAGCTGGAAAGGGTTATAAAAGTATCTCCAAAAGCCTTGCTGTTCATCAGTCCACTGTAAGACAAATTGTCTATAAATGGAGAAAGTTCAGCACTGCTGCTACTCTCCCTAGGAGTGGCCGCCCTGTAAAGATGACTGCAAGAGCACAGCGCAGACTGCTCAATGAGGTGAAGAAGAATCCTAGAGTGTCAGCTAAAGACTTACAAAAGTCACTGGCAAATGCTAACATCCCTGTTAGCGAATCTACAATACGTAAAACACTAAACAAGAATGGATTTCATGGGAGGATACCACAGAGGAAGCCACTGCTGTCCAAACAAAACATTGCTGCACGTTTACAGTTTGCACAAGAGCACCTGGAGGTTCCACAGCAGTACTGGCAAAATATTCTGTGGACAGATGAAACCAAAGTTGAGTTGTTTGGAAGAAACACACCACACTATGTGTGGCATAAAAAAGGCACAGCACACCAACATCAAAACCGCATCCCAACTGTGAAGTATGGAGGTGGGGGCATCATGGTTTGGGGCTGCTTTGCTGCGTCAGGGTCTGGACAGATTGCTATCATCGAAGGAAAAATGAATTCCCAAGTTGTGGCATGACCTGAAGAAAGCGATTCACACCAGACATCCCAAGAGTATTGATGAACTGAAACAGTTCTGTAAAGAGGCATGGTCAAGAATTACTCCTGACCATTGGGCACATCTGATCTGCAACTACAGGAAATGTTTGGTTGAAGTTATTGCTGCCAGAGGAGGTTCAACCAGTTATTAAATCCAAGGGTTCATATACTTTTTCCACCTGCACTGTGAATGTTTACATGGTGTGTTCAATAAAAACATGGCAACATTTCATTCTTTGTGTGTTATTAGTTTAAGCAGACTGTGATTGTCTATTGTTGTGACTTAGATGATGATCAGATCACATTTTATGACCAAATGCAATACATACAGTAGATGGATCACACTCCTAGCGATATCTACAAAAGATATAAGACAATATAGTGTAGTATTTTCAGTAAATAGATATACAAGTAGATGTAAGAGGGATCAGGTACTCACAAACTAGGAGCCAAATATAAACATATGGCTCTCATGGGAACAGCACTGGGACCATTACATAGGATGTCCCTCTCCTTCTTGAGATCCTCTGGTGGTAGATCTGATGAAGAAAGGATGACTGGTAACACTTACTTACTTAAGTAATGTGTTTATTGATCCAATAAAATAAAATGAAAGGTAAAACAAGCGTGGAGAAAAAATACTCCGGCAAAATATAATATAATGTGAAAATGGTAGTGGATTCAGCGCTTAGTATCTCAACAGAATAGTGTGGGATATGAGTACAGGCAGCAACCTAAAGTAAAGACGTTCCCTCACGGTGCGTCAAAGAAATGGAGAATCTAAAAGGAGTATTAGGTCGCGCCAAAAAGTAGATATAGCAAAATCAAAAATTTGTAATACAGCAATCAATAAAAATTGAAATCTTTACATATAAAACAGGTAAAATACATGTAGATGATGTGGTAAGTACTTACAAATAGCAGTACATACAAAGAAGGATAGATGAAAAGTCCTAAAATAAGCAGGGGATAATCAAGTCCGCTTGAGGGAAAGAAACAGTCCTTGTAGGATTAGGGAAATGGATGTGACGTCTTGTTCCAGGTGCCAATATGTAAAAGAAAACAAGATAAAAGCTCCAATGGTATAGATAGTCTTTTCCGCTTCTTTGTAGAAATGCAGAGTAAAAAGGTATCACACTCACCTATATTAGAGCTAAAACTAGCTCGGGTGTGCTTCGCATTCAGTGGTACTGGTCCCCCACTCGTGGGATGTAGACGTATATACGTGGCCGAAATCCTCGGGAAAGAAGAGAATAACACAGAATAGTGCTCACTGTATGAATAGATACTTAAAAAGGAGTAAAATGTGTATAAAATACTCACATTTAAGTGAGCAGGAAATACTGCTCACTAATATGGCGTAGGTGGTATCATCCCCACCTGGGATTCTTGAACGTAAAGTAATAATAACCAGGTCCAGAAAATAATAAATAAATAAAATATAATAAATAGAAAATTAAAAAAGTGTATTATCAAGGATAAAAGGTAGAGTATAGGCCAATAATACTTTATTGATAAAATGTAAAAAATATATATAAAATAGCCAAAACGCGTTTCACCACACAGGGCTTTTTCAACTGGCAATAAGAGACAGAGACCTGGTTCACAATGGTTTAAATAACCTCTCATACAGTGAGCACTATTCTGTGTTATCCTCTTCTTTCCCGAGGATTTCGGCCACGTATATACGTCTACATCCCACCAGTGGGGGACCAGTACCACTGAATGCGAAGCACACCCGAGCTAGTTTTAGCTCTAATATAGGTGAGTGTGATACCTTTTTACTCTGCATTTCTACAAAGAAGCGGAAAAGACTATCTATACCATTGGAGCTTTTATCTTGTTTTCTTTTACATATTGGCACCTGGAACAAGACGTCACATCCATTTCCCTAATCCTACAAGGACTGTTTCTTTACCTCAAGCGGACTTTATTATCCCCTGCTTATTTTAGGACTTTTCATCTATCCTTTTCATCTATCCTTCTTTGTATGTACTGCTATTACTTACCACATAATCTACATGTATTTTACCTGTTTTATATGTAAAGATTTCAATTTTTATTGATTGCTGTATTACAATTTTTTGATTTTGCTATATCTACTTTTTGGCGCGACGTAATACTCCTTTTAAAATATAATATAAGTTCACAATATAGTGAGAGATCCAATATGGGAGTGTCTCTTAAGTCCGAAACGCGTTTCGCCCCATAACAGGGGCTTCCTCAGTCGGCAGTGAATGTGTCCTCCTCCTCAGCGTCTTTTTATATGTGTATGTGGTTGCCGGCTTCCATCCGGGGAACGCATGGCGCGTGTAGTGTGGTGTTGCCTGTATTTTGTAAGAGATCCTTGAGAGAGTTGCTGGGAGGTGACCACTAAGTCCTGATAAGACACCCAAACTCAGAGCATAGCTAACCGACTGAATGTCTGAACTAACCCGTGGTGATAACTTATTATTACTTATTGTGATTCAATATAAATTCTATAGATTAGTCAAATTAATTAGAGAAGCATTTATGCTCCATGCACTATAACCACTTCAATTACATAAAAATGGTTTTAGTGCCTGCCGTGTGCCTTTAATAATAAAAAAAAAGCAAGCCAAAGTTGTTAAAATACTTGTGTAGTGTAAAATAAATACAATTGGTAATCACCTACGCGAAGGCACAATATTAATCCATCAGGTAGTTTTATGTCTAAACTTTTACCCAATATAGTATATAGTAAATAGTGTTGGTGTGTGTAAACTTGTCAGCATTAGTTTATGATGGTTGTGTTACAAAATAACAGAGAATTTATTCCATAGTTACCTGAATGTTCTTTTCTTGGCCATATCAATGGCTGTATCACTGTGGGTATATCTCTGCCCCAACACTGGAGTTGAGCGGACACCTGGATGTTCGGGTTTGCCGGGTTCGGCCGAACTTTGGCCAAAAATGTAGAGTGTGTACGCAAAAAATTCGACTTCGGACTCGAACTTGACCCGAACTTGACCCCGAACCCCATTGAAGTCAATTGGGACTCGAACTTTTGGGCACTAAAATGGCTCTAAAAAAGTCCTGGAAAGGGCTAGAGGGCTGCAAAAGAAAGTAAAATGGGGGTAAGAGTAGGACAAGTGCCCCGCAAACAAATGTAGATAGGGAAATAACTTAAAATAACATTAAATACATCAAAATGTAAAATAATAATCTTGAACTAGGAGGAGGAGGTGGATGTGTAGTAGGAGGCTGAGGAGGCGGTGACCGTGGCGGTGTTGGTGGAAGAGGCGGTGGAGGAGGAGGAGGTAGCCAACACTGTTTTTTATTTTTTTACATTTTTTTTAACATTTTTTTTTATTCTGGTAGCCCCCAAAATATTGGGACATATAAAAAACAAAAATAAAGTATAAGTGCACTTGCTTATAACAATGGCTGGGTGAGGCTGGTATAAATGTCTATTCTGCACAAGGTACAGACAAGTCTGGTGGGATCCATGCCTGGTTCATTTTAATAAACGTGAGCTTGTCCATGTTGGCTGTGGACAGGCGGCTGTGCTTGTCTGTGATAACGCCCCCTGCCGTGCTAAACACACATTCAGACAATACACTGGCTGCAGGGCAGGCCAGCACCTCCAAGGCATAAACAGCACACGTACTGTTCCACCATGTTGCTGAAATGCTGCCTCCTGCTAAGACGTTCCATATCAGCTGGTGGTGCGTGTTGTTGTGGCGTGCTGACAAAGCTTTTTCACATTTCGGCCATGCTAACCCTGCCTCATGAGGTGCTGGCGGTGCCCCAGCTGCATTGGCGACCTCTTCCTCCTCCTCTGCCTTCGCCTTGTGCTTCCACTGAGCACCTGGTGTCAGTTGGGAATGCCCTCAGCAGCGCGTCTACCAGCGTGCGCTTGTAGTCGCGCATCTTCCGATCACACTCCAGTGAGGGAATTAAGGACGGCACATTGTCCTTGTAACAGGGATCCAGCAGGGTGGCCACCCAGTAATCAGCACAAGTTAGAATATGGGCAACTCGGCAGTCGTTGCACAGGCACTGCAGCATGTAGTCGCTTATGTGTGCCAGGCTGCCCAGAGGCAAGAACAAGTTGTCCTCTGTGGGAGGTGTATCGTCTGTGTCCTCCGTATCCCCCCAGCCATGCTCCAGGATGCCCACATGCTGCGTTGGGTGCCACCCTGCTGTGAGCATGGTTCCTCCTCCTCCTCATCCTCCAGAACTGTGCCCTGGCTGGACAATTGTGTACCTGACTTATGCTGGTGCAGGAACCCACACTCCGAGCCACTTGAGAATGACTGGCCTGATAACCGTGGAAATGACCCTTCTTCCTCCTCTTCTTCATCCTGTGCCACATCCTCTATCATCATCGTCTGAAGCGTTTTTTCAAGGAGACATAGAAGCAGGATAGTAAGGCTGAGAACGGCGTCATCGGCACTGGCCATGTTGGTGGAGTCCTCGAAACAGCGCAACATGGCACACAGGTCTCGCATGGAGGCCCACTCATTGGTGGTGAAGTGGTGCTGTTCAGCAGAGCGAATGACCCGCACGTGCTGCAACTGAAACTCCACTATCGCCTGCTGCTGCTCGCACAGTCTCTCCAGCATGTGCAAGGTGGAGTTCCACCTTGTGGGCACGTCACATATGAGGTGGTGAGCGGGAAGGCCGAAGTTACGCTGCAGCGCAGACAGGCGACCAGCAGCAGGGTGAGAATGCCGAAAGCGTGCACAAACGGCCTGCACTTTCTGCAGCAGCTCTGATATATCTGGGTAGTTTTTCAGGAATTTTGGCACCACCAAATTCAGCACATGCGCCAGGCACGTACTGTGGGACAGCCACCGCCATCAGGTTTTTAAAACTGTCTGTCTCCACCAGACTGAATGACATGGCATTTCAAAGGCCAAGAATTTGTGTGATTGTGTGTGGGTAGGGGGGTACTTCCACTTTCTCTCCAGTGTTTGGGAGATGGACAGCTGAACACTTCCATGGGACAGTGTGGAGATGCTTGGGGATGGTGGAGGATGTGGTGGCGTTGCTCTGTCACTCCAGAGGTGGAGGAAGAGGCAGAGACAGCAGCAGAAGAGGAAGCGGGAGGAGCCTGAGACCTTTCTTGTTTTTTGAGGTGCTTACTCCACTGCAGCTCGTGCGTTGCATGTAGATGCCTGGTCATGCAGGTTGTGCTCAGGTTTAGAACGTTTATGCCTCGCTTCAGGATCTGATTGCACAGCGTGCAAACCACTTGTGTCTTCGTCAGCACATTGTCTGAAGAACTTCCACGCCAGGGAACTCCGTGGAGCTGGCTTTGGTGTGCTGGTCCCTTGGTGCGGTGGGCAGTAGCAGGCATACTGTCAAGGGGACGGCCGCTCCGCTTTTGCACCATGCTCCCTCTTATGCTGTGCTGGTGCCTCTGTGCGACCATTGCCTCTTCCTCCAAACTGGACATGTCAGTCGCATGACCTTGATTCCATGTGGGGTCTAGGACCTCATCATCCTCCACATCATCTTCCACCCACTCCTCAACCCTGCCCTCCTTGACGGTCTGCACATTGCAGAAAGCCACAGCAGTTGGCACCTGTGTTTCGTCATCATCAGAGATGTGCTGCGGTGGTCCTCGCATGTCCACATCCTGAAACATAAGTGGTTGTGCATCAGTGCACCCAATCTCTTCCACTTCTGGGGCACGGCTAGGTGGATAGCCCACAGAAACCCCGCCAGCAGAGTCATCAAAAAGCATAAGAGACTGCTGCATGACTTGTGGCTCAGACTGCTTGGATGATTTGCAAGGGGCCAGGTGAAAGACAGATGGCCATGGGCTGCAGGTGCCAACTCTGAGCTTTCAGCAGGTGACCAGGTGGGAGACAATGTGAAGGAACTGGAGGCACTGTCAGCCATCAAACTAATATCTCCTGTACTTGTTCTGGCCTCACCATTCTTAGAGCGGCATTCGGGCCTACCAAATAACGCTGAAGGTTCTGTCGCCTACTCGCACCTGAGGAAGGTGTTTCACTTGTGCGTGTAGCTGCCACAGATCGACCACGTCCTCTCCCTGCAAAAGGAGCTCCACCAACACCAGCAGCACCATGACCAGGGCCACGTCCCTTATTTGACACTCTCCTCATTCTTTGCGTTCACCCACCAAACTAACAGATGGTTTAAATTTGAATTTTTCAAAGTGCGATGTAACCACAGTATTTGACGGTTCTATTTGACTCTCAGATATAAAGTGCACGCCACAAATTTACTTTTTCGCACCAAAAAAATTAGAAGTCCCCATCTAACAAACAAACTGATTGCTTATTTCTCTGTGGCACTGGGCTCAGGGCAGGGTACACAAATGTAGTATAGCACCCACAAATATAATCACTGTAGTTTGCAGATTCAACACCAGAATTCTTTCCTAATCTGTGCCTCACAGCTGCAGCATCCTCTCCCTACACTAATAAGAGCTCATGTGACTCCAGCTTATATAGAGGCTGGGTCACATGCTGCACTGGCCAATCACAACCATGCCATTAGTAGGCATGGCTGTGATGGCTTCTAAGGGCACACGAGTCAAACGCTTGTTGATTGGCTGCCCAGCATCTTTTCAAAATGCGCCATTAAATCGCCGAACACCGAACTCGAACTGTTACTGAAATGTCCGTGTTCGCGTTCGGGGTCAAAAAAACGTAATGTTCGGTACGAACCCGAACTTTACAGTTCGGGTTCGCTCAATTCTACCCAACACCTATTAGACAGGTAATAAAGATAAAATTAACAAATAAGACCTTCCTCTCCCTCCTACACTGCCTGCCAGCTAAGCCCACACACAAATAAGGACAAGGGAGGGATGCTGTCATGGACTATGACCAGGAAAAGAAATTCATGCAAAATATGGAATATGGAATAAATGTTCTTTTTATCCGGCCATATCCATGTCAGCATTACCTTGGGTAATATCCAAGTTATCAAACAGAAAAGAACAAACTCAAATCACAGCAAACACATGCCAATTCACATTTAAATTCAAATTCACTGTGAAGCAAAATTGATAGCCTGAAACTGTCATTAGAAGCAGCCAGGACATCCACTCGGTAGTGTCTGATAAAGGTATCCTGGAGGACAATGTGGCTGCTCTCTATATCTACTCCATAAGATAACGGCTGATGAAGCCCATGAAGAGGAAAGATCCCTTGTAGAGCATGTCCCAATGCACAAGACAGGAAATCTGATCTCCAAAACCATAAATAGTATATATTCCTAAAGAAGGGCCCATCTCTTCCCAGTTAGTGCAGAAAGGGAAGAAATTTGGGCTGAGTGTATTCAGTTCTAGACCTCTGTCAAATCCTGCTTGCAAAAAGCTCCATATATAAGCTGCATAAAAAGATGAAACGGAAACAGAATTAGAAGCATCCCATTCAGAAAATAATACTCCAGACTCTGGAGTCAGCTGAGGAGGTTGATCTTTGCCTTGCATTAAGTAAAATGGAAATAACAGGGAATGACAATCCTTTCTTGGTTAACCTTACCTTTTCAAGCTCCATACTATGAGATGGAGAGATAGAAGGCTTGGATGAAGATGAGATTTCTTTGGCAATTACAGTTGTGGACTCTGAGAGAGAGACTACAGGAGTGCAGTGGCAGATCCAGAGCCTGATCTTGGGAGGGGCACTTGTAGATTATTTAAAGAAATAATCCAGACACAATAACCACTACATCTCAGTGTAGTGGTTATGGTGTCAATAGTGCCGGGACCCCCTCCCAGAGTAAGTAGTCAAACCGTTTAAGAACAGTTTGACAACTTACCTGAGTTCTGCTGGGAAATGGGGCTGTAGTAGGGCATAGGAGCAGTGGTGTGTGTGAGTGGTGCAATGTGTAAGGTGTGCAGTGTGTGTGTGAGGGGGACAGTGTGTGTGTGAGAGGGACAGTGTGTGAGCAGTGTGTGTGTGAAGGTTCTAGTGTGTGTGAGAGCGGCAGTGTATGTCAGGGATGCAGTGTATGTGTGGGACAGTATGTGTGTGTAACAATTGCAGTGTGTGTGTGTGTGAGTATTGCAGTGTATGTGTGAGTGTGGGCAATGTGTGTGTATGGGGCGACAGTGTATGGGGGCAGTGTGTGTATGGGGAGCAGTGTGTGTGTATTGGGTAGTGTATGTGTGTAGAGTGTGTGTGTATGGGGGCAGTGTGTGTGTATGGGGGCAGGGCAGCGTGTGTGTATGGGGGCGTATGTGTGTGTATGGGGGGCAGTATGTGTGTATGGGGGGCAGTATGTGTGTATAGGTCAGTGTGTGTATGTGTGTGTATGGGGAGCAGTGTGTGTGTATGGAGGGCAGTGTGTGTGTGTGGGGGCAGTGTGTATGGGTATGGGGGGCAGTGTGTGTGTATGGGGGGCAGTAGGGGGGCAGTGTGTGTGTATGGGGGGCAGTGTGGGGGGCAGTGTGTGTGTATGGGGGCAGTGTGTGTGGCAGTGTGTGTATGGGGGGCAGTGTGTGTGTATGGGAGGGCAGTATGGGGGGCAGTGTGTGTGTATGGGGGGCAGTATGGGGAGCAGTATGTGTGTATGGGGGGCAGTGTGTGTGTATGGGGGGCAGTGTGTGTGTGTGATAAGGGTAGGGGGGCTTTTTTATTATAAATATTATATGTCCCCCCTCCCTTCTTACCTTTACTGGGAGGAGAGGGGACACTTCCCTGGTGGTCCGGTGGGGATTCCCTGGTGGTCCCAGTGGGGAGAGTAAACTCTAGCCCGTGCTCCAGGGCTAGAGTTCACTCTCGCGAGATTTGGAGCATTGCCGTGGTAACCGAGGCAACGCTCCGTGCTCGCGAGAGGAGGATACGGAGGAGCTGCAGGCAGAGCTCCCGGGTCCTCTCTCACTTCCTCCCCAGCCGACCGCCAGCACGGTGCCTATGGACCGGGGAGGGAGATCTCTGATCTCCCCTCCGGTCCGTGAAGGCACATTGCAGGGCTAGTGCCTGCATGTGCTGACAGGGGAAAGGGAGGCCGTCGGTATTCTCAAGGGGGGGCAATTGCCCCGTTGCCCCCCGCTGGA